GTTCTTATTATGAGTATGTTTTAGTTTCAATTTTGAGATAACTTGTGGCTGATTTAATAAGTAGGTTGATTGTTTTTTTTGTTTTTTCTTTTCTGACTTTTAATGAATCTCTTGGATTATGTAGAGATGGCAGTCGAATCAAATGCTCCATTGGTGGATCCACACATTGTAGGCAATGTGTTTGTTCAGAAATACTACAACCACTTGTATGAAAAACCAGCTGAAGTGCACAAATTCTATCATGAGGATAGTGTTTTAGGCCGTCCTGGTTCCGATGGAGAGATGGTTTCTGTCAAATCTTTAAAAGTAAGCTACAATTTCTATTCGATGAATCGGAAATAAATTTCATCGTTTTTTGCATTTTCTTGGTGTTTGTTTGTTTATTTGTACTTAGAATGGAAGCAAAAGTTTTGATTTTAGGAGTCTTTTTAATCTTGTTTGCAGGCTGTTGATGAGCAGATCATGTCCTTTGATTACGAAAACTCAAAGATCCAGATTTTGACTGCTGATTCCCAAGCATCTTACAAGAATGGAGTTCTTACTCTAGTGACGGGTTTACTGACCGTAAAAGATGGAGAAAGAATGAGATTTTCTCAATCTTTTTTCCTTGTGCCGCAGAACGGAAGCTACTTTGTGCTGAACGATGTTTTTAGATATGTCTCTGATGAGTTTGTTGAGCCAGAAGCTAACAAGGAGGTTGAGGAGACTATTCCTCAAGTAGTGCAAACAACAGTCGCTATCTTGGGTGAGTATTGGACAATGTTTTGTTTGATCTGTAATATCAGATTTACATCTATGGGTTTCTTACGAATATCGATTTTCACTAGCAGAGCCGGCGAATGAAGTTGCTGAGCCAATTGTTATCCCTACTCAACAACCTGTGGTGCAACAGGCAGCTGAAATTGCGGTGAAAAAACCAGAAAGAGCTATAGCAAATGGACATTCCAAAACCCGGGAGGAAAATGTTGTGAATGATGCCAGTAACGGTGTGAACGCGCCGAAGACATCATATGCAGTAATTGTGAGTCTTCTTAATGTGTAATGCCCAATTCTATGGTTCAATATTGCTTATATATTCTAAATGATTTCATAACTTACACTTAGGTACAATCATTGGCTCAAAACGGTGCGACATTCAATGTCAAAGCTTCTCCAGCAAAACCAAAGCCTGTTACAAAGCCGAGAGCTGCTTCTGAATCCAAAGCTCCTGCGCCAATTCCTGAACCCTCTTCTGCTAAAACAGCCGACCAACCAGGTTATACTAGTGTTTTGACATTTTAGGAGAACCGATTTGTTTCCACGTCTTCTATGTCTTAATAGGATTTCTGCCATTTTCATATATTAGCTGAGGGTGGTTCTATATTTGTTGCAAACTTGCCTATGGACGCCACACCCGAGCAACTCAATGAAGCATTCAAAGGTTTCGGAACTATTATTAAAGACGGTATCCAAGTTAGAAGTTACAGGGTAAGTTGTTATTGAATTAACTCTGTAGAGAACACATGTTTTGCTATGTTCCTCTTTTGGCGATTTCGAACCCTCAAAAAAACTTTCATTTTTCCAGCTAAAGGGAAACTGTTTCGGGTTTGTGACATACGAAACTGCTGAAGCTGTGAAATTGGTCATCAAGGTACGTTTAAACATTGACGAACTTCTTTCAAACTCGTGATTATAAATTGGAATTTTCCTCTGATGTAAAAACTACACAACTTCATCAGGCTCACAAAGAATCAGCCATCAGAATCGGAAACCGAAGAGTTTCTATTGAAGAAAAGCGAGGTAAGTTTAAAGAAAAGGTTTACTACTTTGTCTCCAAGATCCCAACTTCAGTAAATAAAAACTGAAAAGTCTTGAATTTTCCCGCTTGCAGGCAACAACGATGGCAAATCCTCAATGCGAAACGGAGGTTATAGGAGCGACGGGTTTAGGCCTCGAGGCAACGGTTTTAATGGAGGAGGACGAGGCCATGGAAGAAATGAGAGACAAGGCGAATCACGCAACGGTGAGGCTAAGAATGGTAATGGCAAAGTTTATCAGAATGGTACGGGAAAAGCTGAATCTGGCCGTGAAAATGCTTAATCCAGAGGCTAAAAAATGTTTTATTTGAAAAGTCTCATGTGTTATTATTATTGTTGTTCATTTGAAATTTGAGAATCTCAAGTTTTATAG